TCTGTGTGGAGAAATTTCAGTCTATCTGATGTATGATCTTGTTTGCCTCATAATTAGAGGTACTGGTTGAGGTGATATGATGATTACTATTAATTATATTGGCAATCCGCTAGATATCACACCAAATCACGGCCTGCGTCCACATCCATATCTGTCCTTTTAATTTTCTGGGTCCTGAAAAATCTGATGTGTATTAAAGGATTCACGTCTCTCATGTTTAACAAGCAGGAAGCAAAGTTTCAAAAGCTTTTGAGATTTCTTACAACAATGTGATCCTCTGACAAGAAGCAAGGTATATAGATTTTTTTAAAAAAAGTTTTTTTTATATGTTAGAATTGTGAGTTGACAAGCTTATATCACTTATTTCTAAAAATAAAATATGAATCTTGATTTAGATTTAAAATGAAAGTACTCAAAGGTGTTTCATGAATACATTTTTTAAGCTAATATTTCATAAAGAAAGTGTTTGCTCTCATGGGGAAGTAAAAGGGAAACATTTCTTAAACTCTGAGTTACATGAAGAAGGAAACCATGAGACGTGAGGTTGTGGCTGCACTAGGGAAATCTCTCCTAACTGGTGTGGGGATAACTAAGTATTCAGAAGCAACGATTCCCACTCTGCCTACTGTCTGTATTATTCAAATGAAGAACAATGCCTTCAACCCCCACTGTCATACACATACTCTCATATGTACATATCCACACACAGGTGCCTTGCCCCCCATTACCCTTTTGGTTGGGTTTATGGTGAAAAGGAACAGAGAAAGTAAACTCAGTTATATTAAGCATTCATTATTATTACTGATTATTTCCTAGGTACCAGGCTTTAGGCTAAATGAATTGACATATGCATTCCTTTACTACTAACACGTTCTTGAGGCAGGGAATATCATGCCCATTTTGCAGAGAAGAAACCAAGTCTCCAAGAGATTATGTGCATTGTTTAAGTTAAAAGGTGGCTGACCTGAGTCCCACAGAGTGTTGCACTGACCCTCTTTGCCGTTAGTGGTTAGGGGCCTTCACAGGCAAACGGTTCCAGGAAAATTTTTGCATGAGCCTTGGCACATGTACCCATTGCCCAAACTCACTTGCCTCTTCAATGTAAGTTTGTCCCTGGTGCCCTGTAGGATGATCTCCATGACACTCACGGGCACAATAGCTACACAATTTACAGAGACACAGTGTGAAAAGGACAGGGCTACTTGTCCAAAAATGATTGAGAATTTCAAGTACTCTGACTAGAACACTGAGCCAGGAGCAGGGCCCACCTGGGGGAAGGGCTCTGTGTGTCTACATGGACACATGCCCAGGGAGCCAGCTCTGACTGCAGAGAATGAAGTCAGGTAGAATGGATTCTGGACAAGGCTGCCTCTTGGTTGGGGAGGAGAGTGGGGCTTGGGAGTGTCCTCTGAGCATGGTTTATCTCTGTCCTGAGGTCTCCTCTGTGTGGAAGTCTAGACTCTTCCTACCAAGGATCTGCCTCCGATGGTGCCCAGAGCACAGTGGGCGGAGGAGGTAATTGATTCCAAAGTCCAGTCAAGATACTGCCTCGAACAATGGTTCTCAAATGCTGCTTTGCAGACCTGGTCTGGCTTTGGTATAGTTTTCACTTCTCTGATGTGAAACAAAAGAAATAAGGACCCGGCAGTGAAGTGTTTTGGTGTGTGTGTTTGCTTCTGTCTCTAACGCTAAATTTATCCAATATAATGGACATTCTTCTACGATTATTTTCGTCTTGAGATTTGGGAACTAAAATGTTCTCTCTGTCATAAAGAGATACTAATGATAGGTAGTTATTTTGAGCCATCTTCACTTGCTGAATAAAAAGCTGGACACTCGAAGGCATGATTCCAAATGTTTTGAGGAAAATTTCACTGTCGCATGAAATATGAAAGTCTGGGAACCCACAGACCAGAAAGTGAAGAAAAGCAGAGTAGCATAGGCTGTCCACTGGGGAACACCCCTTAATCTTAGGAGACTCCTTTCTTTTGGGGGCCCTTGTCCTTTGCTCTCCACCAAGTTCTGGAGTGGATGATGGCTTAGCCCCTTTCAGCGCCAGCATTCTCTGAAAACTCTGACCACATAGCTTGCATTGCTAAATAATAGTGAGGATTTGGATTTACAGACCCACTCGGTCCCACTTATCTGATTCATGGAGAAACACTGAGAAGACAACTTAAGGAAATCTGAAACAGAATAACCTCAAAGGCAGCTAGCTCAACAGCTGTTCGATAGATGCTGAGGCGAGCCCATCATAAAATGTACTATGGCATGTCATAATGGTTGGGATACCAGTAAGAAAGTACTATCTTAAGTACCATTGACTTAGTCACATTGTGTTTGCAAAACAGGGAGCGAACATCTGCTTATCAAAAAAAAAAAAAATTCCTTTAGAATTCCTTTAGATTCCTTCCCTTATATTTCCTTCTTTAAAAATTCCTTAGGCTACATTTTACTGGGTCCATTAAGCCCACCGTAGCATTCTGAAAATGAATTATTTTTAAAATAATAACACATTAAAGAATATGAAAAAACCATTTGTCAATTTAGCATACAGCCTTAGTTGCTGTCCAGCCCGTAACAGGCATTCAATAACTATTTGGTAAACAAATATATTTTAATAAAAATGTACTTGCATTCTGATTTTGTCATATTATAAGCATAGCTAGTGAAACACTTTCCTTTTTTTTCAAAAACAAAAACCAAACAAACAAAGAAAACAAGCCAAACTTGCCAGAGAGAGGGTCTCTCATATAGCTACTGTACAGTCCACTTTGTTCTTCTGGAATCGTCAAAACAAACTTAACTGCTCTCAGGAACTCCGATCCAATATCACCGTCAAAATGTTTTACAACGATTTGGCCAAATGTTTTGTGGAACAGCTGTGCTACTAGTCTGCCTGAGTCATTTTCCTTCTTTCCTTTTGGCCCAATCGTGTGATTCATCATTCTGCTTTTAGAATATTTGCCTATTTTTAAAACCAGTCAAAGAAGGCAGCCACTGTTTAAAAGTAAACACACCACACATCAACTCAGGGCAGCTATGCAAGCAGCTTCGCAAGCCCTGAAATCTCTGGCTGCAGGAGTGCCAGCAAAACCAGATGGCATCAGGCAGCGGAATACAGGACTGGCTTTCAGACTCATTTGTGTCTTTACATCTGTCTTTGGTTTTCTTATTTCCGCTGCCATTTCCTGCTTGGATTCATCAACCTTGAACCCATTGTTTAACCAAAGTCTTATTTTTATTTTGCTTGTCATTGCAACATCCATTACGTGTTTCTATGTCAGTTAATTAGACTTTGTTTCTGAACTCAAGAAATTCAATCTTAAATGTTAATCTGCAAAAATGTCAACATGGTTACATATAAGTGCCACGGTTTAACTGCAGATAATGACACAGATTTCTCTAATGCCCTTTACTAATTCCGGGTCATACCAGTATTTGCTATTTACTTTACCATAGCAAAGCAATTGAATAACTTTCTTCTTTTTTGTGATTGAGCAGGAAGGAGTGTGACTTCACAGGGAGCAAGGTGGATTAAATCCCAGGAAGCCTTGAACTCCATTCCTGGCTGTCTTTTAGAATTCTAGAAGGCACTGTCTATTCTGGTACCTTATGGAAGTGGTTCCTCCTTTAATGAGTGCTTGTTCATCTCTGATTATTAGGATTGGGATGCCAAAGTATAATATGTACCCATGCCAAATTGCTCTGGCCTTGAACTCAGTGCACTGACATAATCAAGATGTCTGGGTTATTGAGATTTTATTGAAGTAAATTTAAGTGCACCTTAGACCAAAATCAGTTTTACAAACTGTAGGTTTTATAATGAAGGCTACCTGTACCATAGCAACAAGTCAATATTTCTGTCTTTTGTCCAATTCTTTGCAGATTAAAAAGCCGGGGTATTTGGCAGAAGTCATTCTGAGTAAGAAGAGAGCACTCAAAGGGCCTGAAGATTGGGCCCCCTTGTGTCCTCTTGACTTAATCCTCCAGCCAGCAGCAAGGGTCTTGGGAGGATTTCCCCATTTCTACTTCCTCTGGGAAGCTGAATAGTGTTAAGTGGGAGTATTATTCTACCACTCTTGGCTAAAATTTACCAGCGACTGTTAATTGTTGTGACCCTTGAGGTGTTTGGCAGAGGCAAACACTGTCCTTGTTTGAATGATCTTTCTGGTAATCATCTTTGATATCTTCAAAGAATTGTAGTGCCTAGAAGGCAGGAGCTCCATTTTGCGCTGGACTATGTTATCAAAGAGTGGGGAGAGAAGACTTGTTCCTGCACTGGGTTTGGTCTGTATCACTTGCTCTTGTTCACATAGAACATCACATTTTGGGGCACCTGGGTGGCTCAATTGGTTAAGTGCCTGACTCTTGATATCAGCTCAGGTCACAATCTCACGAGTTCAAGCCCTGTGTTGGACTCAGGCTTTCCCCCAACAAGGCAGTGATCTGGGGTTTAGGGGAGACCACCGCCTGGTGTGTTGAGAAAAAATGCTCTGACAAGGTTGCCGCCTGTTATCCACTGTAACCCAGAACAGGCTCTGGTTAACTGCCTGGTGGTGGTGGTTTGTGGTAAGGGCATCAAAGCTTGCCACCTCAGAGTAGAACTTCTATTTTTCACCAACACATTCTTCTGTCCCATTGAGGTTGTCTTGGTCACCTCATTAGCACCTTGTTAAAACACTTTCCTGCATACCATGTAATCTGGTTTTGGCTCACATGAGAATATTGAAGGACAAGCAATATTTCTTAATTGTAGAGTTACCAGACTGAACATTTGAGGATTCTGATATTTGTTTGCAAAATTTTGGTCAGGCCAACGATGCTCTCCATGCATCTGTTTGTACTAAAGATGAGCAAAATTGTCTTCTGTTTTCTATCTGTCCCCACCGGAAGTGATGAAAATATACATCACCCAAGCCTAAAGATGGGAAGAGCAGGGCATCTCTCACGAGAGAAAGAGCTCTATAGTGAAGAATCATTTTATTTTCCTGTTTTAGATGATACACCTCCTGAGGACTCCATTCCTCTGGTCTTTCCAGAATTAGACCAGCAGCTGCAGGTAAGGATATTTCCAGAGTCTTTCTTTTTTCCTCTTTAGTTTCACAAAATATAATGAATGGACAAATGGCCTAATTGAAAAAGACTGACTTGGAGACAGAGCAGGGAGCTTTCAAGTCATGAAGGCTTGCATTTCTAGAGCTCCAAAGTCATGCAACTCTCAAGCAGTGTCCTTGGCTAGGTATCTAGCTATAGCACCAGAAGATCAAGTTTGTACAGTGTAAGTAAGCTTCTAAGGAGCTTAAGGAATTCTGGAGCCTGGGAACAGACTGGTACCTGCTTTCCTTTGCTGCGAATATCTCTGTGTCATTGCAGTGGTGACCCATTTTGAATTGGTGATTTAGTGATAAACTGTGCAGAGGTGACTTGTCATGGGGTGGGGGAGTGGGGAAGATTTCAGAATAATCTTCCTTTCTCTCCTCCACCCCCAATCCCTCTCCACTCCTCTGACAACCTTTTTTATTTTTTAATTTTTTAAAACATTTATTCATTTTTGAGACACAGAGAGAGACAGAGTGCAAGTGGGGAGAGGGAGACCCAGAATCTGAAAGAGGCTCCAGGTTCTGAGCTGTCAGCACAGAGCCCGATGCGGGGCTAGAACTCAGGAACCATCAGATCATGACCTGAGCCGAAGTCAGACGCATAACCGACTGATCCACCCAGGTGCCCCTGACAACTTTTAATAAAATATAATTGTTTTAAGTTAAACATTCTGAATACTGTCTGGTTTGATCCAGGAGAAAAATATTTCTTGTGCATAGTTTATGGATGATCTATCAAAAGGACCCCATTTTAAGACACCAGAGTTATTTGAAAGGAGTTAATTTGTGACATTTCAATTTTCTTTAGATGACATATGGTGATTCCAGGCAAAGATGGCTTTCTGCCTGAAATACTTGGATACTAGCCTTGGGTCAAACGGTCTCTTGAGTGCCTCACTTCACAGTTACATTTAGACAAGTTAATAGGGGTCTTGAATCCCGCATGTAGACATTTGCTTAATCTTTACTTTTTTTTTCTCTAAGCATTGATTTTGAAAGCCTTTATGAGGGGTCTGCCACCTCCATTTCGCAACAGGCGTGATATTCCCCTTGTCTTAACACCTAGCAGCTTTTCCCATTCGTGGGTGTGACTGGCATCCTGAAGTCATTCGTGTTTGGGAGCCCTGGTCCTGCCCAGCCCTTGATCAAGGTGGGAAAAGCCCTTATGCAAACCCAACGTAACATCCTTCTCTCTTGGCTCTGGTTCTTATCTCAATCCACAGCACTGAGTTAAAAACCTGGAAGTAACCACGTCCGAAAGGAAGAGCTGGTGCTCCAGGACTGGAGTGCTCTCTGAAAAAGCAAGCCAGCATGACTCAGATGTGACTAGCTGTGAGGAGTCCTCATTCTCACCTCTGCCACAGTCCTGGGCATTGTTGCAGCCCTCTGGTAGAAAGCCCACTCAACAGAACAGTATCAGTTATACAGAGATTACTGAAGGTTGTCTCTATTCTCTCTAAAATTTCCTCTGCCACTATCAGCCATCTTATCTCCTCCATCTTACCCCTCCCCCCCCCCACCTTTCCACCTCCCCATGCAGGATCTTCAACCCAGCTCTCCCAGTTCCTGATAGCTAACCATATCCCCCAACATGGCTTCTTTTCACCAGGGAGAACAACTCAGCTCTCCTGCTTTTCTGTCTGGTATGCTCCACAACACATAGAACATTCGTTGCTTAGATTCTGTCCTCACAGGAGGGCTGTGTTTGTGCTGCTGGTGGGAGTATTGGGATTGTAAGATAATAACTAAATCTCCCGACCCCCAGTCCCAGTTTTTTCTCCTTTATTTTACTATCACCTCAAAGCTAGTTTATTATCATGGGAGTTATATAAAACATATTTTGGAAATAAAACCGTAAATGCATATCCAGGTTCTGGTTCCTCTATCAAACTACAGATCATTAATTCTACTTTTTTGTATTGACAATTTTTTTTCCCTTTGGGAACATTAATGGTTTTCCCTGGCTCACGGATCATTCTTCACAGGATTCAGGGCACCCTTGGCAATTCTGCAGACAGTTTTTCTGTTAAAGCCTCACAAGATCCATTTGGATTTTATGGTTTTAATTCCATTTGACATATATTAGCAATTAAGTCTATTTAATTATCTTAATCCAATGAAACTGTTTCATCTTCATCGATCCTTAACAAGTTAAGCAGGTGAGAAGCTGCTTTCTGACTCCTGGGTTTTGATCCCCCTCCATCCCCAACCCTTAAAATATGGTATTATTTAAGCCTTCATGAATGGAGGGAATATTCCTAGATTTATACCTAAAATCATTTAAGTAAGCACTTGTTTGTTGGGTAAAGAATATGATTGAGTTCGTTATGAACATTTGCCAATTCTCAAGCCATTTGGTTAGGGTTGCCTCTGTCTGGGGCTGTTGCCTGCTACCTTTATTCTGTCTCCAGAGCACAAATGACTAAAAAAGAAGACAGTGGGGATGGAGAGGGGAAAGCTCACACGGGAAATTACCTCTTCTTTCCATGCTTAGCCGGGGCATATAAATTTAAGCCATTCTGCAGCAGGAAGTCTCTGTATTGAAAGCAATGAAAATGCTTTATGTACGAAAGGCACAATCCATTCTGCAGAGCAGGCCGTCTTCACAGTCAGTGTCGTGCGCTTTCATCACATAGTAATGGCTGCTGGAATTTTACCCACCATCATAATCCTCTATGGAAGAATAAAAGTTAGGTTACAAAGGAATATGAAGCGTCTTGTGGTTGTCACTATTTGCTTGAGGATAAACTGACTCTTGATTATCTCCACAGGAGGCTTAAAAACTTGCCAAATGAAAACTAAATGATGCCAGGTGATTATTGCCGGCCCTACTCTCTGCAGAGTCTCAGATTTAAATCCTGCCACGCACACCGAGCATCGCTAGGCCAGGGATGCTTCCCCGCAAATAATCTCACTGGAGCCTTGCCACGATCGTGTGAGCTTTTCTGCCTCCACTTTCGAGATGAGAAACCTGAGGTCAAATTTTGCTCTAAATAAATTTTCTATTTCTGACTAGATTTCGGATTCTGAATCTAGGTAGATTTCTTTCCCTTACACCTTCTGTGAAACCTACAGCCTACTTAAATTACTTTGATAGGTAGAGATCTTTTGTTTCTGGTGCGCAAGGTTGTCACAGCTTGGTTATAGAATAACCTTGCAAGATCTGCTCTGACTTTCTGATATCCATTACACATTCTTGTGTTGTTTATAAAATGGAGCTATAAAGTATCTCTTTGGTAGATACTCTATCACCAGTTTGACCCCCTAGATTTTTCTGTTGCTTTGCCAAGAATGTGGACATGTTTGAGCATGTAATTCGTGTGGCTTCTATTTTCACAGAAGCCAAAAAAAGCCCTGTGCAAGAATAGCAGTGACAAACATTTCTCTTGATGTCTCTATTAATGCAAAATGTTGGGCAAGAGACTTTGGGGGTAAGGTAGGTGTTAAAATGAACATCTCTTTATAATGTTCATTTGTGGGCTTTAGGCCTCAGCCCGAGGGCTGCGGGTAGCTTGATTCTATTTTATGCGGATTCCTTTCCTGGAACTTGGTTTCTAAATTCTCTATGCCTATTAGAGGCAGTATTTGGGCAGAGCGGGTATAGCACACCCAGTCCAAGGAAAAGAGGCTCAATTCTAGGTCTGCTTCTAAGAATGAATGAAAAATCACTACTTTTCTTTAGGTGTTGGTTTCCTTCTATTTGAAAAAGAAGTAATGCCTGACCTCCTTCTTTGTTCTGAAGGATGGTGTGAGTCAGCACCATATTTGTCTTAAAATTTACACATGTTGTTATGCTGCGGAGATCATCGTTTGACCTGTAGATGAACCAAAGCTAAGCTGTAATATGGTCTTAAGCGCATTGGAACAAAGAATATGCTTTTATAATCAGGCAGGGAACATGCTAACAGGTACATTGTAACAACTGCCTTATGGGACTTACAAGGGCTGGAACATGGGTATCCGCATTAGGTTGTCTTCAGTTTGGATCTTACCCCCACACCTACCAGTTTCGTGATTGATATTATTTACTCTCTCTAAACCTCACTTTTCTGAACTGCAAAGTGGAGACAGCACTATCGATCTCACATTGCTTTTATGGGAATTAAATGTGATAATGAGTAGATATAACACAGCGCTTGGGAAAATGATTTGCTCACTTAATGTTAATTTTCTTCTCTAGTGAAATCGTTTTTTGAATGATGTATTTAAGAATTGGTAATTTATCTTTATATGTACAAAATGAGAAGAGAAGCATCTTTTTGGATTTTTGAGTCAGGGATAGAGGTTCTGATGCTCTCTCTGTTTCATTAAGCTAAGGTACTTGGAAAACAATACGCCTTTTTTTTTTTTTTTTTAAGTCAAATTGAGCAATAGCCTCAATCCTTCCTAAAGTCCTCCCATCTAATCTGAGAAGACGGTGACAGGTGTTTCCGTGGTACACACTGAACTTGCCTTTTCTCAGACAGAGTCTGGTAAGTCCAGAAACTGATGTCACCTCCACAAATAAACAATTTCCGAGCTCCAGTTGTGTGCCGTAATATCTTGTTATCCGAGCAGTCTCTTCTGAAATTTCTTTTGGGTCTTGCATCAGTATATTGCTTGAGATCTTGGAAAGGAAAATGAGAAAACATGGAGAAGTCTTAGCATTCCAGAATTCTGCTACACTGGTCTTGAACATCCACCTGGAAATGCAATTAAGAAATAATCCCATAGAAAACACTGAACATGTCTGCATTTTCTCTCATACACATGTTGGAAACTTTTATAGAGTTATCTGTTGGCTGCTATGACCACACAGAAAATATACACAGATATCCTGGAGCTTTATAATGGTAGCTTTACTTTTTCTTTTGAGAATCCCAGGAGCCATGCAACAAGATGCCTTGTTGGAAAAGTCTGAGACACTCTTGAGTTACCTCTCTCTTTAATATTGCTTACATTAATAAAAATGACTTCAATA